AAAAATTTGGGGCTGATTGAAGGTTTTACAGCTCATTAGGATTCAATGATCCTAAAAACAAAAGTTGAGGCATACTTAAACTGTACAGTTTCATTATCGTTTTTTTTTAAAAACCAAAATAAACATCAACACAGTACTTCATAAAATGAGCCTGAACAGAATTCAAGCAAATGGCAGATTGCAGCTTCCAATTTCTTGCTTTCGCTTTGTTCATTGGCCGTCTCAATTATGCTGCCATGATTGTGTTAGGCCGAGTTTCTTCGTAGGTCTTTCCTATTTACATCAAAAACAATTTAAACGGCAATTCACAAAATCAACTCCATGAAAAAAATTTGTGCGACAACAAACAGGTTTTTCCTGAATAACTGTTACCTGTTTTTCAACGGAACCAATTTCTTGCTTTCGCTTTGTTCATTGGCCGTCTCAATTATGCTGCCATGATTGTGTTAGGCCGAGTTTCTTCGTAGGTCTTTCCTATTTACATCAAAAACAATTTAAACGGCAATTCACAAAATCAACTCCATGAAAAAAATTTGTGCGACAACAAACAGGTTTTTCCTGAATAACTGTTACCTGTTTTTCAACGGAACCAATTTCTTGCTTTCGCTTTGTTCAATGGCCTTCTCAATTATGCTGCCATGATTGTGTTAGGTCGAGTTTCTTCGTAGGTCTTCCCTATTTACATCAAAAACAATTTAAACCTGGCAATTCACAAAATCAACTCCAAGAACAGAATTTGTGCGACAACAAACAGGTTTATTAAAAGATTCATAATGAAGGTTAGTTTCGAATGTGTGTTAGAGGAAAGATTCGCAACTTCCCAACTTCCCCCATTACTTTTTTAGGTGAAACTTACACATATAGCAACTTAAATTTTTTCTACTGTGTTCACGTATTTAAAAATTTTGCAGACTTGTTACATTCAAAATCGGTTTTGAAAATGTATTGTAATTTCGGAATTCTGTTTAATTACAAGATGCATCAGACTCAGGACTGTTTCATGAAATCGGCACACACTTAGTAAGCGCTTCTGAAAATCAATTTAAAATTGAGTTTTTTTTGTATCTCAATTGTTCTACAAGTTTAATTTCAGGTGTGTTTGAGAAACATCACAAATGACTCGACAAAAATGGTAGACTTAGTGCAGCTTGTTAAATTTGAAATTTCACTGTTACCTGTTCGAGCAAAACTTTGAAGAATTTCGGGCTGGTTGTTAATTCAAGATTCAATGATCTTAAATTAACAAAATGTGGCTTACTTAACTGTGTAATATCATTTTTCATATTTTTCGGTGTTTCTCGACAACTCAAGTATGTTACAGCAAATTGTGGCAGATGTGTTTGAAAAACCCTACAAATAAATTGACAAGGAACTAGAGAATGAAAAAGGGTGAGTTTAGTATGGTTTTTTGAATTTAACGTTTCGCCGTTACCTGCTCAAAGAAAACATAGAAAAACTTTGGGCTGATTAAAACTTTTTGCAGCTGATAAAATAAATGATCCTAACTTAACAAAAATTTGGCTTTTTTAAACATTGTACAATCCAAATTCATTCCTTCTAGGATTCAGAAATTACCGGAACTTTTGATTCCATTGAAAGAATTGTTTTATTTTGGGATTCACTGAGCATTTTGGTTTTCTGTTTTTGTAGATGTATCAGATACAGGACTACTTAATGAAATTAGCATGCAATACAAAGCGCTTCTGAAAATCATATTAAAATTGAATAAATTTTGTATCTGAGTTGTTTTAAGGTTGTAGACATAAAAGTGTCACAGATGTGTCTGAGAAACTTCATAAATGACATAACAAAACCAAATAAATTGAAAAATAGTAAGTTTAGTGAGGCTTGAGCAAGTTAACATTTAACCGCTACCTGTTCGAACAAAATTTGAAAGATCTGATTGAAATTTTTGCAGCTCATTAAGTTTCAATGATCCTAAACAAGCAAAACTCAGGGTTCTTTTGAAAAGAGTAATGTCAATATTCATTCTTTAACCGAAATATTCAACTACAGATCCACATAATATCATCAAAAAGTAAGCCAAAACAGCAATAAATCATCTGACTGCTCGCAATTTCCCAATTCTAAATTCCGTAATAATCCTTGCACTGGCTATATCTCCGGCCAGGACTGTGTTAAACCTAGTTTCTTTGAGTGTTTTTTCTACTCATATTTAGAAAAACTTTGATTATAGACAAAATCATCTCCATGAAGAAAACCTATACGCGAACAAGCGATGAATTACAAAATTCATATTAGAGGTTAAATTTTAAGGAGTAATTGAGGATAGACTCTGCCCACACCCAAATTCTTTCATTATTTTGTAGGGAGAGTCTTTTATATTCAGTGACTAATGAAACGACTTGTAACGGTTTTTGTCCGTCGCAATTTGTATTTGCACTGTTTTTTTTGGGTTTCTGTTTTTTTAGGAAATATATCAGATACAAAACTGTTTAAGGAATTTGACATACAGTTGTCACGCTCTTCTGAAAATCAATTTTAAATTGATTTTTTTTTGTATCTGAACTGTTCTAAAAGTTTTTTTAAAAACGTTGCAGATGTGTTTGAGAAACTTCAGAAAAGACCTGACAAAAATTTAAAATAGAAATGGTAGGCTTAGCCGAGCTTACTAAGTTGACTTTTCGTCATTACCTGCCTGAACAAATTCTTGAAGGTTTTTGGGCTGAATGAGATTTGTGCAAATGATTCAGATGGAATGATCCTAATATAAAGAATATCTTTGGGTATTTTACAAATCTTTTTCTTTTAGGAGATGCATCAGATTTAGGGCAGTTCGATGAAATTGGCATATAGTAATGAAAAGCTTCTGAAAATCATTTGTAAATTGAATATTTTTTTGAATCTGAGTTGTTTTTCACAGTGTATTTAAAAAAACGTCCCAGATGTGTTTGAGAAACTTCATAAATGACATGAGGGAACAAAATAAAATTAAAATTGGTAGGTTTAGTGCGGCTTGTTTAAGTTGAAGTTTCGTTGTTACCTGTTTGAACACAACTTTGAATAATTGCGGGTTGATTGAGGTTTTTGCAGCTCATTAAGATTCAATGATTTTAAATTAACAAATTATGGCTTCTTTAAATTGTGTAACTTCAATATTCAATCTTAAACCAAAATAAACAAACACAGATTATCACAATATTTGCTCACGTTTTTTTGCTGCAGTTTAACAATTAATGTTATATCCAGAGTCTACAGTTAAAGCTCAAACAACAATACGGGCTGAATATTCTTTGCAATTCAATAAGACATTAAAATACATTCTGTTTGAAAAGGAAAACAAATTATTGCTTATGTTTGATTTTCTCAAAACTGTTTCTTCTCCAGTTATGTCAAAATAAAGGAAACTTGTCGAAGCAACTCATGATTCATTGCGTAAAAATTGATAGGAAAAATGTTTTGGCTAACTTTTCAACTTTGTTGTGGCTAGCAGTTTTTAGTAGTTGGCGGAGCTAGATTTCAACAATCATTTCGGTTACATCGACCCGGAATGACATTTCTACAAAACTCCCCTATCATAGACCTCATTGTAGAATTTGTAAGAAAAACCCCCCATCTTACAGCTTTCTCACAAGTTTTTGAGAGGTGATTTTTTTCAAAATTTATGAATGTTTTGAGAAAATTGAACCTCAAAATGGATCTTTTTCTTCCCACAAATTTTACATTTTTTGATTTAAGAAAAATTTTAAGGAACTTTTCTCACAAAAAGAATCTCAGAAAATCCGATTATAATCAGATTTCTGCAGAAATTGTATTTTGTATTGAAAAAAATGCTATGTACGCTTTGTTAAAGTAGACATTTCGCTGTTAACTGCTTGAACAAAACTTTGAAGATTTTGGGCTGATCGAGGAGTTTGGAGCTATTAAGATTAAATGATCCTCAGTTTAAAAAAATTTGGCTAGTTTGAACTGTTTAATATCATTATTCCTTCTTTTTCGGTGTTCCTCGACAACTTAAAAATTTACCGTATATTGTGGTTCCGTTGAACGATTTTTTTTATTCATTGAGTTTTCCGGAATTCTGTTTCATTCAGGAGTTGCATCAGATAAAGGACTGCATTTTAAATGACGGTTTCGTCTTAAACTTTGTTTTTATCCCGATAAAAACTTTAGTACATTTTTCTTTTGCTAGAAAAATCTGGTTCCAATATTTGAAGTGCTCAATACTACGAATCTAACGTGTTTATCTTCCATTATGTTTATGACGCAGATCAAAAAAATAGTTTGATAACTTTGCTCCGCTTTTGAGTAGAATTGTTGAGTTGTTTAATAAATGTCCAGTTTGAAAGAGAAATTTATGGTGCGTCATCGTCAATAGGTTCACCCTCGACTTTTTTTATTGCTTTGACCCTCAACGGGTAATTTTTGGCATCACCAGTAAACTTTTCATGCATCGGGCGATATTTTGCCTTGTCTGGTATCTAAGTTTTGCTCCGAATAGCTGATAAGATAAGTCTTAGGAGCTGTTCATAGCAGCTGATGTATGCCCACGAGAAACCCGGCAATTTAGATAAATTCTGCAATGTTACAACTTTCTTAAAAGAAAATATCTTATCTTACAACTTTTTTGTGAGAAAATTCGCTATCTTGTAACTTTCTTAGAGCCCAATTTTGCAAGAAGTTGAAAGATTCTTATGAGAAAAATTCCAAGACTTTTGGTAAACACGGGGTAGCATACACAAAGTCGTATATTATTTTTAAAACGAAAATTATTTTTTTTTGTTTCAGAACCATGATAATATTTGCTGACCTTAAGCAGCCGTCGTCAACAATCATGCTATCTTATACATTCTCAAATCACAATCTGGACCTTTTGCATTTCTCAGAAGTAAAAAAATAAAACAAGCGCGTTCAAGTTTTTGAATAATAATGTTTTCAATTTTAATTTGATAGTTTGAACACCGACAACAACCTTTTTGCAGCTAAATCTTTTTTCGCACTCACTTTTGGTATATGATTTTTATCTGAGATATAAAAAGACACTTGCGCTGCACACACCTTTTTGAAAATATTATGCTTCAGACTTTTATATTAGACACTCAACAATCTTCTGAACTATCTATACATCATAAAAAACTGTCGCAATTTTTTTTTCTCCATCATTTATCATTTCTGAGGAACTGAACTGTTATAACATCATCTGCAATCAACTATTTATCACAGTAAATCGTTTTTGATTGTTACTTGAGTGGACGTTCTTTGAGTAAATAGCTTATACTGCCTGTCTGAAAACTGTCAAAATGACGAGTGGTGAAGAAACTGGTGATCTCTTTCGCCGGTTATTTCTGCACAGAGATGCGACAAACCTATCTATTGAACAGTTCAAACGGCGTAAGTGAAGAGTGCGGACAAATACATTGTAAATTTCTGTCGTTGATTCACTAAGCTTGATTGCCTAATACTTTTTTAACCTCTGAATGATAATGAATTGCACAAGAAGGTGCTTTTGTGATTACTATTAAACCGGTCCGAAATTGCTGAATGAGCCCAAATTTCAGATAAACGAGCTGAATTATCCTAAATTGAATAAAAAGGAGCAAAATGAACGCAACCTTTTTTAAAAATCAAAATGGGTCCCCCATTTTTTTCTCAGTATGGGGACAAAAACGCCCAATTTTAAGAAATTGGGCCCAGTTTTTGGTCTCCGTTTTTTTCCGCCTATTGAAAATGAGGAAGAACTTTGTATTCGGGTGTGTTTTAGTTTTTTTTCCGTTTTTTTTTCACGCAAAATCAGGTACCACAAACAATTATCGGACTGATAAAAAATCCCTTTCAATTGTGATTCGAACTACATTAAAAAACGTCTAGAAAACTTGGCCAGTTTTGAGAAAAACAGGTTTGAAATTTTTGGTTTTTTATTATTATTCGAGCGAATTAAGACAAAAAGCAGGCTTAAAACAGCTGAACTATGCCTAATTAAAAATTTAAAACTTAGTTTTCAGCAAGTAAAACTAGTTTTTGGAGTTTTTAGCTTCATTTTGTGAATCAAAAACTGCAAAAAAAAATCAAAGTTTTTTTTCAAAATATTTCGAAAAAAGAAATTCAATATGTTTTTCTAGTGTTTCTTGTTTCTATTCATTTTTCTACAAGAACTGTTGTCGAATTTGCCTATAATAATATGATTGTCTAACATGCCTAAATTAAACTTTTACGTCAGATCTTTTTATCACACCAAGCAGAAAAGCTACACTAATTTCAAAAAAACTTTCTAAACCGTGGTTTTCTAAAGACTGTGGTCTGAACAATCTCTGCTGCTTACACAGTAACTGGCTATCCTTGTTTCAGTATGGAGATGAATGAGCTCAGTTTTTTGAGCAAAAACAGCCATGAAAACAATTGCTTTGACTAAAATTATGATAGAGGGATCCCAACATACTAACAGGGGCCTAATGGAGAAAGTAAAAAGAGTTAAATTAAAACAGTTCAAGTTTTTGCCTCAGTGATTACAATTAAAGCATCGGAAAAGATCGAGAAATTGAAAAAATCTTAAAAGCCATGAAGTTGCGCCCATTGATTTACGTCAATGCTATATGTGCTCAACAATAGCGTGATTTGGATCCCTCTATCAAGATACTTATTTTGGGTCCCAAGATACTAATGTAGGCCTAATGTATAAAGTCAAAAGAGTTCTTTCAAAACAGTTGATTATATTACCTCACTGATCTCAATCAAAGCATCAGAAAAGTTCACGAAATTGCAAAAATTTTGAAAATCTATCGAGTTGAGCCCATTGATTTACCTCATTAATATAAGTGCTCAACAGTAGCGTGATTTGAGGCCCTCTCTCACAATTTTACCCGCTTTAGTAGTATGCACTTAGTACACTATGCTCGGCGGGGTTGTCATCCATGAATGACCATTAAGTAAAGATCATAATTGTCAGCAAGTATTATATAACAACCTATGGTCACCATGTTAAAAACCTAAAGGCCACGATGTATCTTTTTACTCCTAACAACCCCCAGGAAGTAAGACTAATTGTCAGCATGTATTAAATTTTAATTTATAGTCTACATGTAATGACTGATCTGTAATGATCTCTACTTGCAACTGTAACCAAGCAATTTATGATTTAAATTTAAAAATCATAGTATAGAAAAAATTAAATTTTTCTCCGCATTAATTTGAGTTGTGTTATTTGCACTCTTTCAAGCTTTACTTCATAGCTGACACACAAATTGGACAAAAAAATTGATTGGTACGCAAAAATCTATATATTGAAATGTAAATGAAATTAAACCATATTAAGAAAAAATTAATTATTGAGAAAGCATATGAGTCAAGAAACGTTTCAAAACATCATCATTAAGGTATACAAAATCCAAAGCATCGCCATTAAAGTTTATACTAAAAATCAAGCGAGCAATTTAAATACAAAAAGAACTACACATGGTAGAGTTTGAGTTTTGCATTAGAACTCCTGTCATCAGTTCTATGGTTTGATTGAAATTCTCGTTTATCATTTGATAGATGTTGCTGTGTTTAAAGACCGAGAGGATCTGCAAAGTATAACACTTTTTTTGGAGGCATATCAGAGTCCATCGAAGTGTTCACAATCGTAAAGGCATTGTTTAGAATGTGAGGTGGAAAGTTGTCGGTTGCAAATACTCCAAAAAACTTGTATTTAAGATGTTTGCAGTTCTGAATGAGATCTTGAAACTGGATTCCATCCATTTTCAGAGAGCAAATTTCGGAAGGACGTTCGTTCTTTGTGACTTTGCTGTCAGATATAATAAATACATTGTATGAGCGTATACACAAAACAAAAATTTTCAGGTTTGCTGTCAAAGCGTCTGAGAGTTGAAGATCGAGTGAAACTGAGCAATTCCTATGTTTTGGGTGCAAGAAGTCATGAGCTGCATGCTGATGCTCATGAGATCGAAACACATAAAAAATTCTGCTAGTAGCCATCCAGAGTGAATCCAAGCCCGCAGTGTAAAAAACCCAGCGCTGATAGTGTGTTTAAGAAGATACGTTTATGATCTTGTGTCCTAATTGGTGTTGTTGCAATTGGCAAACCGTTACGTAAATAATCTGTTCCAATCCAAATTTTGAAAATGAAAAGAAACGCATTATTGGTGTTCAATGCCATTATGATTTGTCTCATCGTTACGCAAGCAAAAAATTTTCCTTTTGCCAGCTGCGCTGACCAGCTGTTGCAAGAATTGTTTTTAGTAAATTCCTCTTGATAAGGGTAGTTCGCAGGAATTTTGAGCAAAGTTGATTCAAGCGCAGAGAGCACAGGTTCGGCCATATTCATTGTTCTAACATATAGGTTCGCTTCGAGTATTTGTAGATTGTAATGCTCCGCATCATCTTCAGTTATAATAAGAAAGACTTCGTGAGAGCGTCTGTAGGAAAGTCTAAGGGTAAACAAATGCTTGTCACAGGTAAAACAAATCAACTCCAGCAGGTCCATAAAACCAAATGTTCCCCGATTTGCGGACCAGTTCTCATTGAAAAGTGAAACCAACTGCATCTATGGCAGAGGGATTGTTTTCAAAACGATATCGCTGACACTTGAGCCATGAGTCCTTGGCTCCTTTGCTGTTAGAAAAACTCTACCGATAAAAGTTTTGTAGGCAAAGTTACTATTGGCACTTGAGAGTTTGAGTCCATTAGCACAGAGAGCACATACAGGGAAATGGTAATAAAAGGATTTATTCACGAGAAACAGTGAATCAGACACATTAGGATCAGTTTTTTCGTATCTCAGATTAAGTCCATTTGCTTGTCTTACTTTGCATCGTACTTCAAATGAATTTTTTGCAGGTCAATAAATTTGTTACGGTCACCGGTGATTTCAAATTCATGCTTTGATCCATTAGTTGAATAGACAGAACCGCTTTTTCGGTCGAAAGCAAAAGGAGGTTGATTTTCGAAAAAAAATTGAAGATTTCGTAACTTAATTGCGTAACAAATTAACGATTTTTTTTATATGTTTGGAAAGAATCTGTTCGACTTCTCGCTGGTCTGCTTTCTTTCTAATGGTTGTTTTTATTTTTCGAACAGTGTTTCTTCTTCATAATCCATTCATTGGTGTCTTTCGTGGACATCTATCATCACCGAGTTGTACTGCTGCAGCTTTGTCACAGTGTTTTTCAATGCTTGTCTAGGAGGCTCCTTTTTCATAGCAAGATCACTGAGTTCAGGTAGGCGATGCACTCATCAAAGTTCTCTGCCCAATTATTTTGCAGCCGGTAGAAAAACCTGTCGTGCAAACGGTATAGCATCACGGTCAATACCAGCAGCCAAAGCGCCAAATCCAATGCCGCGTTGTCTGTAGTGTCCGGAGAAATGAGGAAGAGAAGCTTGCTTTGCATAATACTGTTTCATTGGTTTTCAATCGAAGATCTTGAGTTTTAGAGTCAACACAACGTTACCAGCTCCTGCAAAGGGCACTAGTCTTCCAGTTTGGGTGCGCAACTGTAAGTATACTGGTTGTACAGGTGAAATTAATATTTTTTCAAAGTCTTAATCAATAAATTTTTTCAATGATTAGGTTCAATGCAGCAGGCAGTACCGTTTTTGAGGCGTATTTTTAAATCAATGACTCGTAACAATGGGGCCTTTGCACCTCCAACAATTCCGTATTGAATAAGGTCAAAATAGACAAAACTAGACTGGTCCCACTGGAGAAGCCATTTGGAAAATGAGATTCGTACAGTTCGTTTCTCTCATGAGAAGCATCGAAGGATGGTATCATTTTGTATTCAGTTTGATATTCACCGCTCTCGTCAAGTTTTGCATTGTGGCCTAAGAGACTGGGTATTTCGGGAATTGATGAAGGTTCCTTCCTTTGCGTTCTTCAAAATTCTCATGCTATTTGTGAACTATTGAGGACTTGCATCGAAATAAATTTTGTCTTTGTGTTTTTTTTGTATCTCATTGATCAGTTGTTCTATAAAAGTGTACTCTCTGATAAAGAATTTTCCCCCATATTCAGGCCTGGAAATAGTATTCCGGTTGCCAGCATTGGATTCACTTGCTACTACTCGGAATGAGAAAAAAACATTTTCAACAAAAAATTTTGCGCAAATATCATGAAAGACAATCAGGCAATCCCGTAAGTCATTAACGGTTTCAATGCAAGAACAATTGTATTATTTCAATATCAAGTTTGAACTGAGAAACAAAAGAACGGGAGTTGGGTTGATTGTGAAGATAGAAACAAAATATTTTGTTATACGATTGATACAAAGTACCTCTGAGAAGCAGTTGAAAAATTAAATCAGTTTTTCCCGGATCCCAAGGGATCTGAAACGGACAGGAATAGACGATCTTTTGTTGAAATGATCTATATAATTATCACAACTTGGGATTTGGTATCA